TGATCCGATATTCTGGAAGTGCTTTACCTGATGTCTGCTACTATATGTGTGATTAGTGTAACGTTTGCTTAAAAAGTGGCTGTCAATCAATTTGGATCAGAGAGGACCGGGAAGAGGTCAAAGCATCAGGTCACCGTGTGTTTGTAAGGGAGTTCCCTGCTGAGTAAACAGAGTTTCTAACAGCACTGAATGGCAGAGCAAAGGTAATGCTCTATTGTTGAGATGCCTTCCGGATTCGAGGCAAAGCGTGTTGTTAAACTAAAGGGCATGTAACCTACAGGGATTGCAAAACACTTCCACACAATACTTCAAGAAACACTTAACTCAATGCCAGACTGCAGGGGGCCAGTAGAGCATATAGACCTTAAGAAGGGAAAGTCAACACAGCTGCACCCGATTTACACCACCTATAAATATAACCAATATCAAATATGGGAAAGTTGCTCTATAGGCTAAAAACACACGAGTCTGTCATTGTCTGCAATGAGATCATAACAAACGGTCATTCCAGACATACTGAGTCTGAATAGCACTGACCTGTAAAACAGGGATTATGCATGCAAAGCACGCACATTTTTTTTAACCAAACAATTATTGGATGCTGCACAAATAACTGATTATGTAACTTGAGACTACTGTGTGTTCTAACACCATCAACATTCAAACATTTTTCTGTATTTTCGGCACAGATATTTGGGAAATCATTTGTTTATCTTTTCTGCTCATCTCTCTCGCTGCACCTGTGGTGCGGATGGTGTTGTTGTTGTGTAAGACACACACAGTGGCTCTCTTGCAGCGCTCTGATTGGTATTCCAGTGATCCACATGCTCGGTGGCGGAACTACTGGTGCCAGTTTGGCCCAGCTCACTGGATCTGTTTATATGGAAAGTGCCAAAACGATGGCCACCTGCAGCATGTGGTTCTGTAGTTCTTCTATGATAAGTCAACTAAAGTTATGAAGTATGGATATGTGCATTGAGCATCAAGCCCATGGTGATGCTGGATGTTTGGATATGCAGAAGCTAAGGATGAAAGAAACATATTCTTTAAAATAATCTGAAATAAATAAGGAATTCAATTAAGTAATACATTCTTTTATTCAGAATGGATGCATTACATTTATCAAAAATGGCAGTAAAAGCATTTTTAATGTTGCAAAAGAGAATTTCTGAAGGATCATCTGACACTGAAGAGTGTAGTAATGGCAACTAAAAGGTCAGCTTTGCTATCACAGCAATAAATTACATTTTAAAATATAATTATTTGTATTTTTGATCAAATAAATACAGCCTTGGTGAGCATATGAATGTCCATTCAAAAACTAAAAATTATACTGCCCCTTAACGTCTAAACAAAAGAGAAGAAAACAAATAGCCTATGGTATGAAAAAGTGGGTTACCTTATCTGAATGTAATCTTAGATATTTGGACGATAAAAACACTTGCAAACTTGATTAAAAGCAATAAACAGAGTCAGTGACCACACACATTTAATGACTTTCTGCAACAGGATATGAGCCGTCACTTTAATTAAACTGACACTTATGAGCGTGTATTCAATCTATACAAAATAAACACTTTATAAGATGTTTGTGTACAATCTTTACTGAAAATGGTGTAAACAATTATTAGGCATTCTGTTTAAATCATTGTGAAGGAATAAGCATATTCCATAGATTCCAGAAATCATGTAAAGTGTTTCATCCTGTGGAATTCACCCAATGACACACAGCACTGTCAGAGATCAAGAAAGTGTCATGTTACCTCAGGATCAGTCATAATCAGTCAAACAGAATACTCTCAGAAGTGGAAAAGTGTGTTTTCTGGTTCATGCTGGTAGTAGGAAGGCTTCACTCCAGTTGCTCTGAACGACATACAGCTTCAGAAAACAAATGTGCTATGCTCTGTGTGAGAGATGCATGTTTGCTTCAAATCTCAAGGCAAGATGAGTATTCTGCTGTCTACGGATGTTTATCCTGATCACGTCTACATGTTGATGTGGCAAAAACACAAAAGTAATCACAGTAATCAGAACTGCACTTCCTCCCCAGACATGAGGGATAAATGTAAAGAAAGTTAAAAGAGGAAACCCTTATAATATCATACACACACACACACACACACACACACACATAAATGACCGCTGTAATTGTTCATAAACATCTTTGCTTAAACTTGGTATGTCCCCTTAAGTCACTCAAGGTGTTTCAGAGAATTATTTTCCTAAAACACTTGCTTTTGTCATTACATCTCTAAACTCCTTCAGCATTCCAGGCACTGGAGGGTACCGAAATGCCGGGATCATTTATCCCTGTTTTGCTCATGACTCAGTAAACCGCTATTAGCTGGAGTGTTTATTTCAGTTGCATTACTCTGGCACACTGGAACTCGGCATTTGAGCCATCCATGTGCAGTCGTCTGGAGATTTGCTGCTTTAATCGTGGTACGGTTGCTAATCGGTATGGTGTGAAGAAAAACACAATGAGACGTGAATCCACATGTTCATTATATTGACAAAAAACGATGTGTTTTGTGAACATTCTGTGAACATCTGCAAATATATTTTACAACAGACTAGCTGAGGCTTTAATTCCATTCATCAAATGACATACATTTAACTTTTGATGGAATAACAAACCATAAATCAAGATTCTGATCTTTCTAAAGAGCAGTGGCATGCTGTCCACATGATGACACCATAACATTGCTATTTGTCTGTTAAATCTGTCATCCTGGGATTAATTTCTCCCTAAGGAAACTTAGTCTAGGGCAAATAATCTGTTTTACACAACAATGTGCACAGCCACCAGTGAGCCTAATGTAATCATAGCGTGAGCTATTCATTTCCACACAGAGCCCCCTGCTGGTTGATAACACAACTGCAGGCTAAATGTACCAATTTGGAAAATCAGTAAGAACTATAGTCAGAGCACTGAGATTCGTCCAGAATGAAGATAAAATTATGTCCTACTAATAGTTATGCTATTTTATTAAGATATAATAACCGTTGTGCTGCTACATATTTTTTGTGGAAACCATGATACATTCACATTAATAAAAAAAAACTGCATTTAAAATAAATGACCTTGAAAAAGTAAAACTCTTCACTGTCACTTTTGATCAATTTAATGCATGCTTGATTACAAAAAAAGTATTTTGCATCTAGTTTAACCCACAGAAATACTAGTAATGCTGCACATGTCAACTATGTCAGTACGAAGGAGATAAGAAACATGTTTGATGCTGGTTTTCCAGTGACTTCATGAGTTTTTTTCCACAGGGTGTCCCACAGCTAGTCACTATGAGAACTGCACAGACCCATAGCAATTAATAAATGCCTGACAGAATCTTTCACATCCTCGTGAAAGACCCAGATGTGTGTAATCATCACGAGAACAAACAGCTGCTCTCCACACATAGGACTTAGCAGCATATAGCACATAGCACAAACATCATTTACAATGTTTCAACGGCTATTTTTGACCCACTGAGCTGTTGTTAAAGGAATACTCTGGGTTTGGTACAAGCTAGTGACAGAACTTGTAGAATAAAGGCCTGCTCACACCAAACACAATACATTTAACAAATCCAGACAACAACTATAACAATAACAGCACAGAGGAATGATATTGTGTGAATCATTCCATTATAAGAGACGAGTCAAAATAGTTTTTTTAGTAATCACCGCCATTATGCCACAAATGCTTAACTCAGATTGAACACAGATTATTACTTTAAATCATTCAAAAACATGGGTCAAATGCACAATAAGTATGAATGCCTGTCCAGAGCATGCTATGCAGGGTTGCGCCACACCATCCTGGAAGAGAGGCCAGTCCACCAGATGCTGGTGTTTGTCTGTCTCTGCTTCCCACCCACAACAAACAGGCCTGTTGCCACAGCAACCAATCCACTGGAGAATGAAGTTACATTCAAGAAAAATGCTGTACTGATTTGGAGCTTTACACACAGCCAATCTGTCACACCGACAGGCTTATTAATATTCATAAACACACTTCTGCACAACATACAAACACAGTTTCAGTGGAATGCAGTCGACTTTCTGCACACAATAGAATGATGGAAAGATAAGGATAAGAAAACACATGTTTTTGTTTCTATCCGGGGCGGACTGGCCATCTGGACGTTCTGGAGTCGGCCTGGCTGGTTCATCGTCAAAGAAAAAGTGTCAGATTAAGTGACATTGACGGTCAAAACAAAAGGGAGCACTAATGCAATCTATTTTTGCTTATAAGAAACCGAAACTGACACGAAGGAGATGGGCTTGTGATGGCAAGCAAAAGACATGAAGATAAAGGTGGTTGGGAGAAGCTAAAAAAAATCGAACAGATACACCAGGTTACCTTTGCCCGCCTCTCTCACTATATACAGCATGTAGCCTATAGCACTGTAGTGAAATTCCAGGACACCCCTAGTCCACTAGGCTATTTATCACTCTGCATTGTCTGGCATGAATATTCCATTAATTCATAAAGAGACAGCAACAATTCTACAACGGTTATGTTTGAGAGCTATTGAGTTCGAAAATAGAGTAAATGAAGTAGCCTATAAGGTGATTAGTCTGATTAACATGACACACACACACACAGTAATTTGAATACTAAAATTGAAGAATTATGTTGTTTCAGTTTTCTAGATCCTAGGTTTATGTTTATCATTGTCATGTACATTTTGCATTCTGCTCTTTTTATGTAGATTTCAAGTATTTTAGTTCATACAATAATACATTTATTTCAATCCTGTTGAAAAAAAAATAGAAACTATCACATAATTTGTAATGGTTTTACTGGTTATAATGAAAATTGTATTGGTTTTAACGGAAACTGTAATGGTGCCTGTTGGTCTCTACTGGTAATTGGTCACCTTTTATTCATGGCTTTTGTTAAAGCCACTAAATCCTAATGTAATATGTCCCAAAACACACTACACGAAACCATTATTTAATGGTTTTAATGGTTAAAAGCTGATTGTTTGTAATGTTTTTGATGGTATTTGTAGTGGAAATCATTCAAATTTCTGTGATGGTTTATTGTTTTTGTCAGCAGGGTCACCATGGGTTTTGTTATGTTGTTTGCCATAAATGCGATAGGATTGCTGTAATAATGTGAGATAGTAGCGACTGTCTTTAGTTGTGGTGGGCCTATTTGGGAGAAAATCCAGGGCCATATTTTACTAGATTTATTAGACTTTTACATTTACTTTTATTAGAATTCGAAGGCAGAAAGTAGACAATAGGAGTATTTTAGGCCTTAGCAATCTCCTAAGAACCACAAGCAACCACTTAGAGCAACTACGCATTTGACCATCATCTCTTAATCCTCCTTTTCTACAGAGAAAATGAAGAGAGGAAGAGGAAAAGAGGAAGGCGAGGTGGGGAGACAGAATCAGCAGGCGAGAAATTGAGTTGACTACCTGCCAAATGCAAGCAGAGGGGAGGAGGACACAGGAGGGGTGGAGAGCAGGAGACCGATGGCCTGAGGCGCTTGGCTCAGGTTTGTTAGTGTGTCTACAGTAGAGTGGGGGAGTGATGAGAGCTCGCTGTGGCCACTGGCCATTGACTGTCATAAAAACATACTCGCTGCCGTCAGCGGTGATGCCGGGGATATAAACACTCTATGCCATGGGTACCTGTGTGTTTGAGTGTGGGTTGGACAGATCTGCTCTCGGCCTCAACCACAAGGGACAGACCACAGCTGATTTCAATGGAAACAGAAATAATATTTCAGCCATGGGTTTTGCACATTGAGTTCCACATTGAGGTTGATTACTCACTGACAAAGACTCACTGGGATGTGCTCTTTACCCTGAATTACATATAGGGCTCTTTAAGTCTATTTGATGTAAATTATTATTAAAACATGAAGTGTGTATATATATATATATATGTATACACACACACACACACACACACAATGATAGAACGATGATAGATTTAATTCTGATTCAATCACAGTTTTTTCTTTTAAACATATTGCTTTCTGTTATTTTCTCCTTCATTTTTTTTCACTTCACTGGAATGATTAATTCATTCAAGTTCACAAGCGCAGTTTGCACTTGTAAGGAAACAGCTCCCCCTGGGGTCATGAAAGCAAACCCAGAGAGAGAAAACACACACACACACACACACACACAGTGTTGAGAATGTGGTATAGTGTCGTTTTTTTCCCATTTTTCACCAACAAAATCAACAGCTCTAAACACACAAATGTCTTTACCAGGCTTACAATAAAATCTCCATGAGTTTACAGAATACAAGTTTTACTGCTTACAACCATCATTTATTAAAATAAAATAAAACAGACACCACTCACATAAAACAAGTCATAGCTGTTATTTTTAATAACCTCACAGACAGATTAAACAGGGGTCCTTAGGTTTGTGGTTAGGGAACATGAATGCTCAAATATGGGCTGCTGCGATGAAGCATTTGAGGTCAGACACTCAGAACTCAATCTCTCTCACACACATTTGCATTTGTCAAACTCATTGCCCTCAAGCAAGTAGGGATGAATCTTTTACAAAACATAGTCTTGAATTTAATATCTGATTGTATGAGGCACTGTAAAGAGCAGATAAACAAACATCTCTGACCACACATTCTACTTGAGGAGGCACAAGTACCTGTTACTGAATATGAAACTATTTATTTAACAATGATGCCTTTAATCAAATTGCTGTAGCTTTCATTATATTAAATTGTTGCTTTGCAGTATTTTGCTTACTTGTGGTGACAAACTGCCTCTCATATCTTATTACTTTTATCTCTAGCATTTTCCTCAATGAAAAGCCTAAAAACTAAAATAAAAAGATGAAATAAAAGATCATAAGAGTTAAACAAAATTATACCTATACTATTTGACTATTTTAGATTCATGTGCTTAGCTATCATGTATAGTTTGGGCTTGGTAAGATTTTAAATGTTTTTGGAAGTCTCTTTCTTCTCCCCAAGGCTGCATTTATTTGATCAAAAATAGAATAAAAACAGTGATATTGTGAAATATCATTACAATTTAAAATAATTTTCTATTTTATTATATTTAAAATTACTCCGCGTCTAATACGCTAACTCTTACTAACCCCAACTTTTGAACAGTAGTATAGGCGCTAAAAGTTGCTAATACAACATCCAAAAATCTTCTCGCCCAATGCACTTTTCCTGCTTGTGTGCTAGTTGGCATCCTCAGAAAGCTCCTACTCTATTTACTCAGGCAGACACCCTCTGTCTGGTTTGATAATGCCTGGGGGAGAGACAGAGATGGGCTGGGCTTTGATTGCTTCTGGCTGCCTTTGAAAGCGTGCAGTGCAGGGCAGTTCAAGAGATCACAATCTATTCCACAATAAATCATCTAAACAGCGCGCCAGCCAAAATCAACTCAAGACCTTCCTTATTAACTCAGTGCCAATGCTGATGTCAACTATGGATCAGTTATGTTAAAGGTGAAGTATATATTTTTTCTATAATAAATACTTTCTCATATCCCAGCTTAAAGGAAGTTGCTAATACAACATCCAAAAATCTTCTCGCCCAATGCACTTTTCCTGCTTGTGTGCTAGTTGGCATCCTCAGAAAGCTCCTACTCTATTTACTCAGGCAGACACCCTCTGTCTGGTTTGATAATGCCTGGGGGAGAGACAGAGATGGGCTGGGCTTTGATTGCTTCTGGCTGCCTTTGAAAGCGTGCAGTGCAGGGCAGTTCAAGAGATCACAATCTATTCCACAATAAATCATCTAAACAGCGCGCCAGCCAAAATCAACTCAAGACCTTCCTTATTAACTCAGTGCCAATGCTGATGTCAACTATGGATCAGTTATGTTAAAGGTGAAGTATATATTTTTTCTATAATAAATACTTTCTCATATCCCAGCTTAAAGGATTAGTTCACCCAAAAATGAAAATTAGCTCATAAATTACTCACCCTCAAGTCATCCTAGGTGTATATGACTTTCTTCTTTCAGACGAATCCAGTCGGAGTTATATAAAAAATTGTTTTTGATCTTTCAAGCCGTTTAATGCCGCTCAGCGGGTGTTGCATGCATCAGTCCAAAATAAGTTAAAGGGGT